CCACGTCTTGTAAGGGAACACAGCACCACAGTCAAGACGACACAGTACACGTCTGTCACCCCAGCCTCCCCTCCAGTTTCTGGCAGCCACTGCTATTTTCTCTTCGTGTAGTTTTTCTTTTTCTAGAATGTCATATAAATGAACTCGTACAGTATGTGGCCTTTTGTGTCTGACTTCTCCCATGTAATATAATACATCTGAGATTCATTCATGTTGTTCCAGGAATGGGGATTTTGTTCCTTTTAATTACAAAGTGGTGGTATCCAATTATATGGAGGTGGCATAATTTTTCTAACCACCTACTCATTGATGGACATTCGAGTTGCTTCCTGTTTGTGAATCAGGCTGCTATGAACATTCGCATACAGGTCTTTGTGTGGGTAAAAGCTTTCATTTCTCTTAAGCAAATACCTAGAAGTGGAACTGCTGGATTGTATCAATGGTTTTGTCTTAATAATCTCTTATTCATCTTCATCCTAATCCCACAGCATGTCTCCAACGCTAGATCTTCATCAGCGTCACCACAAAATGCCATTTTATGTTACTGAGGTGAGAGAGGGATTTAAAAAGAAATGCTTTTTAAAATGACAGGAGAATAAATTTGCTCCATAGGCTGTTTATACCACAGGGGTTACAGACTCATTGATGTGAGAGTTTCTGAGTCACTCTACTAACACTTCTCTTTTTACCTTAACACTCCTGCTACAGGCCCAAGATGTCTCTGTGTGTGTGATTTCTACCCAACTCTGCTGCTTGGCTTCAGTTTCTCATTTGCTTCGGTTCTGAGTCAATCTTCCCCATCCACTGGCAACCCATCAGCCTGCGCTCTGGCCCCCAGCAGGGCATGAGCTGTGTCTTCTGCCTCATTGAAACTCATTCTCCTCTCCCTAGACTGGGGCGTCCTGTGAGGCCCAGGTCAAGTCCATCTCTCTCAGCACATTAACTCCTTTCACTCTTCCAGCTCTTACATACACCTCCTGCATTCTGCTCTAATTCGCAGCTAAATGTTTTCTTTTTCCAATGACTATGCCAGCCTGAAGGTTGAGGATTCATTCTCTATTTGCATTTTCTCTGTACTCTGTATATAATAAACACTCATGGATGAAAATATAGATATTAACATTCCGCCTGTGACATATGTACAGTGTTTACATATTCAGCTTAGGGAAATGTCCAAACAGTCCATTTAGGATGGGAACCATACAATCGTTTCTTCCACATTACAAATAAAAGTCTTTTCTCAAGTAAGCTGGAAAACAGCTAAAGACTAGACAAGGAAGACTGAAGGGTGTGTATTCACCCTATTCTACGCCAAGTTTTCCAAGTGCCTCTCTTGAAGCACACCTGTGGAACGCCAGTAATTAGCTGGATTCAGAGTGGGAGGAAAGGAAATTCAAAACGAGTCTGCTGAAATTATAGTTGCTAAATATAAGTGATGGCAAAGAAACACCAAAAAAACCGTTGACTACGGAAGCTGAGAGTTGAAGGAGGACTCCCTTAGTAGGCCTTAATGAGGTCTGTTTTATGTTTTCCTCCAAAACCAGTCATACCTTCCAAGCACCTGTCACCTATGAAACACGAGCGTCTACCACGGTCATACCTCATCAACCCCAAGCCTCGAGATCCATCCGCTGCAGTAAAGAAGCTCTTATCCCAGGACAGAGGTTCGGACTCATACTCTCCCAGAGTGAATGTAGCAGAGCATTAGCTTGGGGAATGGCAAGGTGAACACAGCTGGCCACTTCCACTTTGTGGCTGTGTGCAAGTTCACCCACCCCTCCATGTAAATGTACACCAGGTGCAGTCACCCCACTACCACCAGGGATGTTCACAAATGCACCCTGAAGGCACCAGCTCAACACACACTACACCTCTAAATGCCAATCTGTGCTGGAAATCCTTGGCTGGAGACTTGAACTAACAATGAAACCACTGTCTTGTTCTTATACCAGTTCATGGTCCAGGTGTCCTTACATGATGGCTGTTACACCACTTCCACCTGGTCATACCATTTTAAGAAAGACTCACCAATGAGGGGAAAAAAAAATCAAGGTCTGAATTAGGAAGACACTGAAATAATGACTAATTATCTTCAGTCTGCAAATATAAAAATTCGAAAGGGATTTGATCAAAGTTTTGGAAATCAAGAACAGTGCAGGACTGAAAAGTAGAAATCTGTTGAAGCTCCCAGATCGACAGCGCGCGATGCAGGCGAGACAGGAGCGCCACATCTGCGGGGACAGCGCAGCGGGGGCGGGGCTCTGAAGGTGAAAATGGTAAATTTCTGCCCAAAGGGAGTTTCTACGCCTCAGCTCTTTGTACAGGAAGTTACATGAGGGTTCAACCTTCTCCTTTTGGAGGCCAGTGTTTCTTTTTAAGTACAGTGGATAACTTTTTTTTTTTAAATTACACTTAAAACGTCTCTGAATATTATTTTTAGGACCAACATATAATTAACTTACAGAAAAAGTTTTGCATGGTAGCCATTTGAGTGGTTTGGATGAAGCTGCAAGACAAGTAGACCATTTCACAGGGCGGAGGTGTTGCTGGGAAGCGCAGGACACTGCAGAAGGCTGTGTGTCTCTAGCATGAGCTCTTAACTGCTTGGTCGTGTGACCCTGGGGGGCGGGGTCACCTCACGGGCCCATGCCTCTGCCTCTACTTCTGTGCTCAAAGGGAGGAACTGGACCAGAAGGCACTTTCAGGTTCCCACATTCATAAGGTGCTATGATGCACTTTGGCATCTTGAAAACAAACACGTGCGCTCAGATTTCTTTACTAATTTCCTAACACAGTTGTTGTTCTTGGAAAGATGACACTGGTGCCCGCACTGAGTATGCTTCCCTCTGCACCCTTTCTCATGTAGTCCTCACTGCGGTCGTAAGGAGGCAATGGGCTGCTGTAGCTGCGTAAATGTTTGGTGCTGGGTCCCAGGCTTTGTCCATCCCAGGTCTCTTCTTACCTTCGCTCTCTTCCTGTACCCAGCCAACTCCTATTTACTCATCAGAACCTCATGAACCCACATCTCTTCCTGTCAGTCTTCTTGCACTCCCATGCCCCTGAGCACTCCGTGTCCACCACCATCAGCGCACTCAGCAGGAGGGAAGGGAACTGCTGAGCTAACGACGCTTTTTCATCTACGCCCCTGGAGGGCACAACCCATGCTGCATTCAACGTTGAAACCTTTAAGCCTGATAAGGGCTCAATGAACACCTGCTAAATGAATCAAGCTGTATTTTCAAATACAATCAAGACTCGGTTGGCTCTGACATGATCACACGTATTAGAGCCTGAAACAATGAGAACTCCAGCGAGGCCTTGTATGGGCTGAAATAGCACCCCTCATGTTCATATGTTGAAGTTCTAACCCCTGACATACCTGGGAACATGATTTTATTTGGATCTTCACAGAAGTAATTAAGGTAAAGCGAAGCTGTTGCGGGGGGCTTTAATCCACCAGGACTGGTGTCCCCACAGGAGAAGATGAGGATGCCGACACACAGGAGAAGGCTACCACCTACGAGCCACGGAGGGGCCTCAGCAGAAAACACCCGCAGGTACCCTGTCCTGGGACGTTCAACCTCTCCATTGTGAGCAAATACATTCTGTGGCAGATGAATATAATAAACTAATAGGGGCTGCGATCCTGTTCTGTACGTGACAGCATTTTTAACAGACAAAGAATAGAGCCAAATGACATGCCTGAGTGTGAGTCTGTGTGTGTGCAGGCAGGCACACCCACTAAGCAGCATGGTGCCAAGTAGAGGTTCTGCTAGCTATTCTTTTGGCAAGCTATTCTGGCATGATTTACATGGTGCATTTTTCTGTGGAAAGCAGGCCCACTTCCATCTGGCATCTCTCTATACGATGAAATCAGAATCTTTAAACTGGATTTTAAAAGAACAAAAAATAAAGGAAACCACCTGGTCAGGCACCAGGGCCTGCTCTAACTGGCAGAAAGGACGGCCTAGATTCTGACCCACCAACCTACTGCCCAGCACGATCCACTGCCTTTCCAAGAATCCTCTGAGAGTCCACCACCTTTGAGCAGGAGACCTGAATCTTGACTGTCTCCTTGTCTCTGCTCTTTCCTGCGCACAAGAATCCTGAGACCAACGTCCACTGTGACAGCATGCCCGTGCCTGGCACCAGGATCACTCCCTGCAGGCGCTCCTCCACTCCCAACCAGACCCCACCTCCACCAGCTACAACAGGGAGGCAATTCATCGCTGCAAGGACAGCTCCAGGGCTCTGTGAGTCTCACAAGGCGTTCTAATCATCAAGACAAGACAGTGGCACTGCTACCTGTGTTTATAACACTGGAACTTCATAGAAACTTACATACTTTGAGCCTTAAGTCAGCCAAGAAGGGCCACTTGCAACTCAACAGGCACCAGTACAGAGATAAGCCCAGTACTCTCAGAGCCGAGCCCAGCATGGAGGACCCACAGGCTCACAAAGGCACACACGTGAGACTGTGTACTTGCCCCACAGAGGCAGAGGTTCTAGGGGGCATGACATGCGTGAGACACTCCTACCTAAACCCGAGGAAAGTCAACAAGGGTCAAGGTTCTTAACAATGCTGGATAAGGACAACTCCAATTTCAATTTGCTTAAACAAATATTCCCATTTCAACAAAGGTGAAGATTTCCGAGCTAGCCAAAGGAAAAGTTCATCTGTGTGTGCGCGCGCGCGCGCGCGTGTGTGTGTGTGTGTGTATTCAATAACATACTGGTCTAGAGCACAGGCTTTGGAGCCAGAACAGCACCATGACCTTGGGCAAGTAGTTCAAGCACTCTGGCCTCACTTTCCTCATCTATAAAATGAGTAAAAATGGTACTTCCCTCGCTGTGTCGTTATGAAGCTAAAAGGATTTATTATTTGTCAAGCAGTCACAACAGTTCTGTAATCAACCCACAGAGATCATCAATGAATGTTAGCTACAGACACAGAGAGAGGCTTCCCTCGGGACCACAAGCCTCCACATGAAGTAACATACCTTAACTTTGGAGTTCTCTATCAAATGCTGCGCCATGGATTTTATCAGCACATCAAAGAAAAACCATGAATACTAAAAGGGGGAAAAAAAAAAGACCCTAGTTAAGAAAAGCAGTAAGTTAGCAGTTATACATGAACACCTATGGGCTAGCTGCACTACTGACCGGGAGCAGATATGACCCTCAAATGTAAGTGAACCTCCTGGCAAGTTATTATCAGACTCAAGAGGTGAGTGGCAGATGTCTTCTGCCTGCACAAGTCCAACAATAAATGCTCCATCTTGCCAGGAAACTGGATGCTTACACTCAGCATGGCGCAACCCAAAAAGGGGCACTGCAGATGACTTGTGCTGTCTTTCCTCGCTGATCTCTCCCTTGGTGACAGCTGCCTTTGTAATCTCTCAATTAGTGTCATATGCTGACTTGAATATAATGGTGTATCAATACTAAACAGCCAATGCAACTCTAAACATAGTGACTCTTTGCAGCTTCTATTTCCTAACACAATTTGCAAAGCAGGTACCGGAGAAGCAATGCTGTTACTCGTTTTAGCGGTGTAGTAATCACCTCCAAAAACACATAGGAAGCGTGAACTGATCAGGCTATGGTTTTTCGTTAATAAAACCGAAGAGCCACACTGGCTCCTGACATACCTTAAGCAGTTTGTTGCTGGTGAGGAAATCGGCAGAAGGCTTGAGAATGGTAGTCATGGATTTGGTTAGCTCTTCGTGCACTGTCTTATATTCAGAAGCAACATATGGCTCAGCCTTATAAGCATACTTGGAAGAAAAGGGAAAAAGACTTTAATGTTGGGCTGAAAGCTTCAGAGGTTCCAAAGAACAAAGATCAGGGACCAAGGTACGCTTCCATGAGTGGGAGGGAGAGACATGGAAATGAAGGCGGGAAGGGTGATTGTCATGTCACAGGAAGAGGGGGCCCACGATGTCATCAAGGAATTCATCAAAATGCATGAATCACCTGACTCAGATCAGTGGCCATCAGCCCATAGCTTCATCTGTACCAGGAACCTCAAGTAATGTGTCAAAAAGAATCCAAACATTTTTCAAACTATCACATGACTGCAATTCACAAAGGTGTCTTAGACTGAACAGAACCAGTAATCATCACTATGTTACTTTAGAACAGTCATCATCACTATGTTAACTGAATGTAGTATATAAATAAAAACTCATTGATACTTATCCTAATGATGTCGCCTATAGCCCACTCAGTCATCTAAATTGATTGTGAACAGAGTTAACTTTTCTATCTTGGGAGAATGAAGCAGTTTTGCTGGGAATTTTAGAAGGAAAAGAGGAACGTGAAGATGATAAACTACCAGAGGTCTAACAAGACCAACTGGAAATTCTTCTTTAAACTCCCACATCATTTGAGTCACATTATTCGGAAAACCAATTCAGAGGATGTAGCTGAAGAAATGAAATTAAGTAAACAAATGAGTGGCCGCCCTTCTTTATACTTCCTCTTGTTTAGGTACAAGCATTGGCTATGAGGAATAGAACAGAAAGCAGAGGTATTAAGTATATCCCAGATAACTGGAACTGTAAAAAAACAAGTCCTCAGAAGGAAAGTTGGAGAGCCACAGATGCAAATGATCAGAACAGTTTGTCTTACGTACCTTAACATAGGACCTCAAGTGGCTTTCCAATCCTTCCTCATGGCACTGGGCAACCACATGAATAATGACCCTACACACCACAGGAATGAATAAAGCAATGAATAGTAATGTGAAAATGGAAACATTTCATTATTATCACAGCAGCAGAACAATGGTGATGCTATGGGCACTTAGGAAACAAGGAGACGAGGAATTAATGGGGTCCCTACATATGGGATCGAGAGACTTTTTGTAAGCACAATGCTCAGCACATACTAGCATCCCGGATAGGCATAGACTGTGTTCCAGCTGAGGACTGGAAAAGAAGAGCTTCCATCCAGCCACCTCCCTTACCGCGTCACGTTGACTGCCACTTCCTCCTGGGTGGCCCTGGTGAGGACGCGGAAGAGCTGGTTTAGGATGGTGGGCAAGAAGGCGATCATCACGTGGCCTTCCATCGCGTGTAGACTCTGCACACATGGAATGGCAAGGTTCATGTTATCTTTTTAAAAGCAAACCCAGCCAATGTAATTTCTGGTCTGTTTCGAAGATGCATACAAGAACTCCCTCTGCAATGAATGGGGAACTGTGGTGGGGCAGAAGGCATCCGCCCAGTAACCATGTCTGCCCCCAAGATGTGTGTGTTCTAATCCTTGAACTCCTGACTATGTTACACAGCAGGGGAGAATTAAGGTTGCTAATCAGCTGGCATTAAGATAGGAACAAACTGGGTGAGCTCAACCTAATCAAAAAGGAGCTTAAAATTGGAAGAGGGAAGCAGGAAAGGGCAGCCAGAGGCACATGTGACTCAGACTCAGGAAAGCAGCTGGAGAGACCCTACAATGTGGAATATATAGATACGCACACATCTCTCTCTCATTTTCCTTGCTGAAACCAAACATCCCTTTGATCCATTCCTCACATCTCTGATTTTGTCCCCAGTCTAGAATGCCCTTTCAGCTATTCTAAAAAAATGCTGCCCCCAGGGCTGGCGCTGTGGCACAGTAAATTAATCCCCCACCTGCGCTGCTGGCAACCCATATGGACACCAGTTCTAGTCTCAGCTGCTCCTCTTCCAATCCAGTTCTGCTATAGCCTGCGAAAGCAGTGGAGGATGGCCCAAGCGCTTGGACCTCTGCACCCTTGTGGGAGACCCAGAAGAAGCTCCTGGATCCTGGTTTCAGATTGGCCAAGCTCTAGCCTTTGCAGCCATTTGGGGAGTGAACCAGCAGATGGAAGACCTTTCTCTCTGTCTCTCCCTCACTGTCTGTAACTCTACCTCTCAAATAAATAAAATCTTTAAAAAAAAAAATGCTGCCACCAACAATCATGAGGTAGATGAAATCTCCCAGACAAACCCCACCTCCTTGTCAATGCTCAGCAACCCCAGGAACCTCCCCAACCCCTGCACAAAGAAAGTGTCAATATGCGGTAGTCCAGGTAGGAGCATCCTTACAGAGATTCCCAAGGATGTAAAAACACTGGTCACTAAACAGAAAATCCAACCTACTCCAAATTCATTACAAAGGGGCTACTACGCATGACATCTGATACCTTAAGGTATTTTACAAGTTCATTCCCTAAGGCTTGGGCTCCAGATTCAGTTTTCTGACAGTACTGGAAAAAATTGTGTAAATGCTGATCCTAGGGGCAGAAAAGAAAAAAGTCTATTAGTACACATGCCGTGGAAATAGGAATATTTACTCCTTGCAGCATTCATATTTTTTAAGACTATAAAACTAGTCACATAAAAATGACAACATAAAAATTGCCCAACAAAACAGGAAAATTGTTGAAAAATGTCACTCAGACTAGCCATTCATATCAGTACATATGAGTACAATATATGCATTTTCTTTCTTCAAAAAAAAAAAAAAAACCTTATACATCAAGGTATATTCACATAACATATCAGGGTTTTCTCTGTAAAAGAAAGTGCAAACCCAGAGCAGCCACTGCCAGTTTCAATGGGACAGCACGTACCTGAGTGTACACTGTAGAAACCAGATGAGTAGAAACTTTCAACAGCGGCTTGGCTCCATCTACCCATTTAATTTCTGGACCATAATGCTGAAAAAAATATGGAGGGGAAAAAGTGCCAACAGATTAGCTATTTTTGCTTTCCAACACAACCTTCACTGAGGGTACTAACTAGGGGTGAAGGCCCAAAGAGCTGCGATAACTCGGTCTATTGTGGTCCACCACAGGAAGGCAGCCAGAACTCATTTCTACCCACTTTCTTCCCTCTAAGTACACCGTTTTTTTAAACTGGGTTTTCTGGGTTATCTTCTATGTTTAGTTGCAGCTATGTGAGTTACTCTCCACTTGAGATGGGAAAATCTTGTTTCACTAGTATCTTACCCAGACTTGCATTGAGGATTCTGTAAGTGATGGTAGAAGGTACCACACAAAGCACACCTGGCACAAGCCAGGGGCTGATCATCTGTGTTGTTTTAACTTCTGAAACTTCCATTTGTTTTTTCATTTTTACACTAAGAATTATAACTGAAAGTTTTATGAATTTTCCTTCTTTTGGAATATTTTAACTATCTACAACATGATTCCATATTTGGCAATATTAAAATACAAAGAAACATTAAGAGAACAGACCCGGGGCTGGCACTGTGGCATAGAAGTCTAAGCTTCCACCTGTAGTGCCGGCATCCCATATGGGTGCTGGTTCAAGCCCAGCTGCTCCACTTCTGATCCAGCTCCCTGCTAACGTGCCTGGGAAAGCAGAAGATGGCCCAAGTACTTAGGCCCCTGTGACCACATGGGAGACCCAGAAGAACTTCCTGGCTTCTGGCTTTGGCCTGGTCCACCTGGCTGTTGCAAGCATTTGGGGTTTGAACCTACAGATGGAAGATCTCTGTCTCTCTCTCTCCTTCTATTTCTGTATCTCTGCTTTTCATATAAACAAATAAATATTTTAAAAAGAGTTACTTGATTCTTGAAAAAAAAAAAAAAAAACAGTCCTTATCTAGATGTTATAAAATTGAAGCCTAAAAAATTTAAGGTGGTTAAAAATATTACCGAAAAGTCAGAAAATTCAGGCCTTTACAAATCAGAAAAGTTTTGGAATGTGCTGCCATGTAGGTGAGAGATTTGCTTGCTAGACTTATATTAAGCTGGAAGAAAATTCCTAATCATTTGCATGTTACTAAGAATTCATCTTTATTCGAGTAGAGCTAAACTGTGGAGACAGACTTACTGATCCAGTATCTCCGTATCTCTATTTCCCTGTTGAGGCACTGCTAGTTCAGGACTTACAAAATACCTACATATTTCTGACAATGTAATAATTGTTACCAGCACTGACTTCTAAGGGCCTAAAGTTACTTGATAACTTTAATGTTGGGACAGGCAAACATACTGTGTACTTTTGTTGTGTTATTTTTGTTTTAGACATTCAATAATGTTTTCTGAAGGATCTGGGATAAAACAATGTAAAAATCCTATACCCTGCCCATTCCGAGCTCCTGGTAGCCAAGGTAGCCAGACGGAAGGTTAGCTGAGACAGGGATGTGCTGCTCGTTGGTCACCACCCTTCCATCTTTCAGGAGAGGAAGCCAGGAATATCCAACTGTTGAAAACAAAATAAAACAAAAACTCATTGTAAATTTTTGAAAACTTACGAAAGAAAGGCAATATAAAACTGTCTTGAGCTTTCAGAACTATTAGCATCAATCAGAGTAAGACATCAGAAAGGTCCTAAATACAATTTGTAGAACACTGTCCACAATGTACTTCAGCCTGTTGGGGATTGGAATTCTAAAATTCTCCCTGATAAAAACTTACTTATGCAATCCAGGCACGCTACCTACAAACCTCATCTAAAAATTCCTCTACAAAAGCATGCAAATTCAAAATCAAAATACAACAGAAACAAAGTGCAATTTAAGAACTTAATATGTACATTATTTTTCAAAATCAAGAAGCAATGACATTCCAAACCTTGTGTTTCAACAACATCCTTTTTCTTTGTGCTTCCTTTACTCGAGTTATCGCAGCTGACGTGGAAGAAGGTGAACAGTAAGTGGTGCTTTTCATGCAGCTGCGTGGGCAACTCTATTTTAATCTGCAGAAAAAGAAAAAATAATACTCTTGCTAATATTCCAAAACCTCAAATAGTCCTGGTGAAAGCAGACACATGTGTCACATAATACACAATATTCCAGAAAGAATTGGAAAACACATGATAGTAACTACGACGTTCCCTTAACACAGCAAAGGAGTGAAATGCCAGGGTGGAGAATTTCGAAGTAGGACTGAGGGGCAGGTACTACGGTGTAGCAGTTTAAGCCATGGCTTGAGATGCCCTTATCACAGTGCTGCTTTGAGTTCCAGCTTCTAATCCAGCTTCCTGTCAATGTGTCTGGGAAGGTAGTGGATGAGGACCCAAGTACTTGGGTGCCTGACGCCCACGTGGGAGACCCAAATGGAGTTCCTAGCTCCTGGGTTTGGCCCGCTCCAGCCCTGGCTGTAGTGGGCATTTGGGGGAGTGAACCAATGCATAGAAGATCCCTCTCTCTCTCTCTGTCACTCTGCCTTTCAAATAAATCTTTTTAAAAATCAAGGTAAGATTCATATAGTACTTTCAATGAACTACTAACTCTATGTAAGCAGACTCAATGACAAAAAAGTAAGATTCTGAGATCCAACAACTATACATAAATAACAACAACATAAATCAGGAAGAAAACAAGGCTGGGGCTGTGGTGCAGCAGGTTCGTCAGCATTCCATAGGGTGCTAGCTCAAATCCTGGCTGCTCTACTTCCGATCCAGCTCCCTGCTCATGTGCCTGCGAAAGCAGCAGAAGAGGGCTGAGCAGTTGCCCAACTTGGGTCCCTGCGATCCACATGGGAGACCCTGATGGAATTCCAGACTCCTGGCTTCAACTTGGCACAGCCCCAGTTGTTGTGGCCATTTGGGGAGTGAACCAGTGGATGGAAGATCTCTCTCCATAACTTTGCCATTCAAATAAATAACTTAATAAATATATTTGAAAGAGAGAGCTAGATTACTAATTATGGTAATAACAGTCACATCTTTTTCTGTATTATCTGCATTTTCCGAGATTTTATTTTTTAACAATGGATGTGTTACTTTTATAATTAGAAAAGAGGTATGTAAACAAATGCCTTTAACATTCAGCTCAATCACTATGATTTCAGTCTACTATGTAGCTTCTCTTGATTTTTGCTTTTACCAAGCAAATAATTGGGATTTGCGCATAAAACTGGTCAAATTGCATCTTTCCAATAAAACACCACTTACCTCATCATAAAATTCTGGGTTTTGTTGATGGTGTAAAACTGCAGCAAAGGCGCTTCTTGTGAACACTGGTCCACCAGGTCTTCCATAAATGCACTAAAATAAAGTTAACAAAGGCAAACTCAGCTGTATTGTAAAGAAAGCAGTGTTTTGGGGCCGGTGCTGCAGCGTAGTAGGTTAAGCCTCTGCCTGTGGTACTGGCATCCCATTGGTCATGCCAGTTTGAGTCCTGGCTCCTCCACTTCCTAGCCGGCTCCCTGTTAATGTCCTGGGAGAGCAGTGGAAGATGGTGTAAGTGCTTGGGCCCCTGCCCCTGCATGGGAGTCTCAGAGGAACCTCCTGGCTCCTGGCTTCAGATCAGCGCAGCTCCGGCCATTTGGAAAGTGAACCAGAAGATGGAAGACCTCTGTTTTCCCCTCTCTCTCTGTCTGTAACTCCGCCTCTCAAAAAAATAAATATATCTTTAAAAAAAAAAAAAAAGGAGAGGCGAGGGGAGGTGAGGGAGGGAGGGAGGGAGGAAGGAAAGAAGGAAGGAAGGACGACGGATGGCAGCTCACCCCCAGGCCTGCTTGTCTGCTGCCCTTCCCTACTCCATGTCCTGACTCTGTACAACACCTTGCTCATCTAACTGCTTGCTCTCTCTGAATGAAATTTACTTCTGTGTGCACCAAAAAGTTTTTGTGGATCCTTCAACAAATCATTAACTCCTTCCCCTGTGTCCTCCAGCATTTTTCTATGCTTATCCAAAAGCTATTTCAGTGTCTTCCATGTGCCATGACTGTCTTTCCCACTATACCATGAATTATATTCACTTTTGTATTTCTGTCTCCTCCCCTTCTTGGGAACTTATTTTCACACACTTACAGCAAAGAAATTGGGCTCTGAAGTCAAACTATCTGGCTGGAATCTCACTAATGTATGACTCTACATGATTTAATTTCTTTTAAGATTTTCTTTGTTTACTTGAAAGTCAGAGTTACACTGGGGCCAGCGCCGTGGCTCACTTGGTTAATCCTCCGCCTGCGGCGCCAGCATTCTATATGGGCACCAGGTTCTAGTCCTGGTTGCTCCTCTTCCAGTCTAGCTCTCTGCTCTGGCCCAGAAAGGCAGTGGAGGATGGCCCAAGTGCGTGGGCCACTGCACCCGCATGGGAGACCAGGAAGAAGCACCTGGCTCCTGATCGGAGCAACGTCGGCCGTGGCGGCCATTTGGGGAGTGAACCAATGGAAGGAAGACCTTTTTCTCTCTGTCTCTCTCTCTACTGTCTATAACTCTACCTGTCAAAAAAAAAAAAAAAAAAAAAGAAAAGAAAGAAAGAAAGAAAGTCAGTCAGAGTTACACAGAGAGAGAAGGAGAGGTAGAGAAAGAGAGGTCTTCCATCCACGGGTTCATTCCCCAGATGGCCACAACGGCCGGAGCTGCACCAATCCAAAGTCAGGAGCCAGGAGCTTCTTCTGGGTCTCCCACGCGGGTACAGGGGCCCAAGGACTTGGGCCATCCCCTACTTCTTTCCCAGGCAACAGCAGAGAGCTGGATCAGAAGTAAAGCAGCCAGGACTTGAACTGGCGCCCATATGGGATGCTGGCACTGCAGGTGACAGCTTTACCCACTACGCCACAGCGCCGGCCCCATGATTTAAATTCTATGTATCAATCTTTTTACACGAAAAGTAAAGATTTAACTGTACCCAACTCAAGGACTATTTTTGAGAACCAAAAACATTACAAACATAACTGCAATGCCTGGGGTATGAGTAGCATTCAATAAACTTATTTATAATCCACTACTATCATTCTTATTGTACTACAATAAGCATTTATCATCTGTTGATCTTCTTTTATTATTTCTAACACCAATATTAATCACATCAAAATTCTTAGGACCCACACAATCTTGGCTCATGGTTTGTGCAAAATAAGTGATTAATGAATTGGATATGTATAAGAAACTTTCATCCCTGAAAAAAAACAAAACAGTCGCCCAGGAGCAATAATTAGTTATTATATATTCTGTAAAGTTCAGCATATGTGGTGATAGGTTGGTTATAACAATATGTTATGTTTGGTTTGTGTCAATTAAAATGTGCCAAATTGCTTCAGTCACACAATATCAAGCAGGTGTTTTCTTAAAATGGAAAAATCAGAATATGCAACTGGATATCAAAACAAAATGAAAACAAACCTTTAGGGGTAGAGAATCTTCCTCATCTGATTCTTTGAATTCAATGCAAATAGCAATATTTCTGGCCTGCAGTAATATTTAAAGAAACAGAAGAGTAAGAAAAAAGCAACAACAAGTCTGAATATGTACATGTTTATGAAAGAACATGGGAAGCCAAACCCTAAGGAAGGATTTGACATCAGGAATGAAACCTCAACGTTCACACTTACCTTGGCAAAAGTCTTTTGACTGTCGAATTTCAAGTACTTGGGATAAACGTAAAGGTGATTGTTGTAGACAGTGTAAGGCTGAGTGTGTTTCGGGATGCAGGGGACAAACTCCTCCACTTCAAATGTGATTGGAACTTTAGCGCAGGCTTCAAATTGCTTCATGGGAATGTAGGATGAGTTAACATAATCTGAAAAGATATTCCAAACAGTCCAAACTGAAGGAACAACCAAACAAAAGTCCTGTCTCTTTATTATACAGAATTTGCACTTACTAGGAAAGTCTGAGGAAACATTATCAATGGTAATGTCTAGATTGCCTAAAATCACTGGAAGTTTAGCCATCTTCTCAGGTCTACAAACAAAAGAAGAGAAAACCAAACATTTATAAGTGGGGTGAACCTTAATCTCTAAATCCTGGAGCAGCATTTCCAAGATATATAGAATGCAAGCCACGAGTAACCACGTGAACTAAACAGGCACAATTAGTTTTAACATTATATTTTATTTAACCCAATAGACTGAATATATTATCATTTTGGTGTATAATCAGAATAATAATGTGTAAGTCTTTAAAAAACCCAGATGTGTATTTTACACTTCTGTACTTCAAGTGCTCAACTGACCCACAAGGCTATTGGTCACTGGGTTGTTTGGCACAGGTCTAGAAAGAATACAGTACTCCCCATTATCCATGGGAACCTCTTCCAAGACCCACAGTGGATTCCTGGAATTGCAGATAGTAAAACTATGCTTTTTACTATATACACATACCTACAATTATAGCTAATAATAAAGTAGACTAATTTAACAATATACTGTAATAAAAGTGTCACCATCACTACTCTTGCACTTTGGTGCTATTATTAAACAAAATAATGGTTACTTGAACACAAGCACTCTGGTAATGGCGATGGCTGCCGAGTGTCTGACAGGTGAGATGCTCATACGGCTGGACACACTGGGCAAAGGGATGACTCACGTCCCACAAAGACAGAGCTAGACAGTGCGAGATCCCATCATGCTACTCAGAAGAATGTGCAATTTAAAACGTGTCAATTGTTTATTTCCGGAATTTTTCCACTTAATATTTCAGGCACTGGTCCACTACAGGTAACTGAAATTGCAGAAAGCAAAACTGGAGATAAGGAAAGACCACTGTACCAGCAAAGCGGTTAAAGCATTCTGAACCAGTCCAGCCTCACCAAAATCACCTGACTCGATTAGGATCATCAATACTCAGAACTCAAACGTCATCTTAGTCTCTTGTGTGTGGCAAACTGCTGGGTGGAGAACGGAAACCCGATGAAACCCCCAGTGCTGTTTGTCCTGGGTCAGACTCAGTCTAGTATAGAATCTCCACTCACATTCCTGACAAGCATGGCTACTGCTTTAACCCCTCTTAGCATCAAGGGAACTTTGGAGAAAGCTGTTTTCACACCAGAATACTCCTCCTAGTAAGACAGTGAAATCCACCTCCTTGAATGCCCTAGATTCAATGTTTCAATCATGTATACACAGCTACCACATAGCCAAAAATCCTCCATTTTCTCAGCACCTCTGCACCTTCCTCCAGTGCCATTTTTATGCCAGAAGGATGTACACTTAAATCACTGGACTCAGAACTGCGTTAGGTCAGGCCCAGTGTGGTCTGACCAGCTCGGGGAGGAGAAGCTGTCTAGTTTTCAGTACTATTACCTGTCCACTATTACGGCTCAAATGCTGTTACTTTAGAATATTCACATCACTCTAGAGACCCACGTTAAATCACAATCACCTAATACCTCTCAATCTTTTTCTCACATGCACACTACATCTAACTAACACACTACATCTCTCTATCCCCTATTTATATGATTATGTTTTCAGAATGCAAAGTAGGATCTTAATTTTTGTCTTGGTGAAATTTCATCTTATGCTTGAGTCACTTCTAGTTGACCAGAATTCTCCTAAATTCAGATTCTAACATCTAATGAAATAGATATTCCTGACTTACATCATGAAGACATTTAATCAGCATGTTATATTCTCATGCAAATCACACAGAATAGCACCAAGCACAGGTTCCTTCTCAAGCCTATAGAGGCCCACTTCCATCCTGACACTGACCCATGAATCACACTTGGTAGCATCTGGAGACTCCCAGGGGCTGAACAACTTCACACTCATGTGTAACACTTTTCTAGTTTTTCACAGGGTATTATGATATTAAACAGATTCTGTCACAGGTGTTTTTTTTTTTTTTCTTAAACTCCACCAGCATAGCAACCCAATTTAAAAGAGCAGAAGTGCGGTTAGATGACTCGCTCAATATGACTCGATTATTCCTAGAAAACAGAATGCCACCACATGAGTCTTCATGCGCCACCTGTTTAATAATTTCTCCTTGAACAGTGCCAAGAAACATCAAGGCTCAGCGGCCAATATATTCCGCATTTGGTTTTGCCTGCATTTTGAAAGGTTCCTACTTCATGCTTTTAAGATTTCTCAAATATTACTGTTATCTATTGAGTAGTCTCACATGTAACTTCTCAGCATATCTTGGAATAGTCCTCATCTGACATAAGATCTCCGTAAAAATTCTACATTCCTGCTTCCTTATGACTACAGATTACGTCGAGCAGCTCCATCTAGCCCATTCTCGCTCCAAGTTGCAGAATCTCTGCCCCTCAGAGTCCTTCTCTCTTCCCCTGTCTTCTGTCTACTCCTGAGTTTAAAAGGCAGTTCTTTGAAATCCCGAGATGGAATGGTTGCAAAGACAAGTCAACGATTGTTCACATATTCCGCCTTCAGATAAAAAGATTCTGGCAAGGGATAAGCAGGTACAGCCCAGCACTAACTTCACCTGGCCTCTGTGCCCATTCTGAGAGATGTTTCACACACCCAAGATCCCTTGCTTCTTAGCAGGAGGAGCGACTCCTGCTAAGCCAACAGCCATTTTCTCCGAGTGTCTGGCAGTCTTCAAAGAGCTGAGCAGTCCGTGACAACAGTCAGTGTCACAGCCCCCCGCAGCTGGACACACAGCTCTGCAGAGCACTGACCCTCAGGCCCAGGGGGGTTTGCACAGGTATGTGCTTCCTTGAGAAACACTGAGCGTTTCTGCCTCTGAGCAACTTAACACTGCAACGGTCCACGAACCATTTCATTATACAAAATCTTGAGGCACCTATGAAGTTGTATATGTTTCTTTGAGTTAGATCTGTTCTATTCATTACACACAATGCTTCTAATTATAAGTACAAAAAGAAATGCACTTCAGCCCTTCCTAGTTATTTACACCTGTGAATGAAGAGGCATCTTCTTCGTCATTTTTAAGTCACTGTGACTCCATGCACTTACACATTTTGGAAGGAGGCAGACTTCTTTGCAACAAGTTTTACTTGCACAATTTTCACCAGAAATCTCTCTAATGTATTGGGTATTTCTGTGCCTGATGACACTTATTTCTTATTCTGTTCCCTCCCTCTGCTGACAGCTTTTACTTTTAGTTGCTTCCACAGAGGCACTGTGTCCACTCACTTCCAAGCAAAGAAGTGAGCCTGCCTCCATACCACACAGAACACGGGCTTTATGAGCTTTGTGTGATTATTTTTTTTTTAAATATTAATTTGATGAGATTAAGACAGAGAGAGAGAGATTGCAAATGAGCACTATCACCCATTAGTTTACTACCCAAATGCCCATAATGGCAGGGGTTGGGGACATGGGTTTCAGCAGGGCAGGAGAATGAAGGCAAGAGCCAGAAACTCAATCTGTGTCTCCCACGTGGGTGGCAGGGACCCAGCTACTTGAGCCATTACCATTGCCTTCCAGGGTCTGCATTAGTAAGAAGCTGGAATCAGCAGCAAGAGCCAGAAATTGAACTCAGGTTCAATGTAGGATGTGGGAATTCTAAAGGTTATATCTTTTTTTTTTTTTTAAGATTTATTTATTTATTTGAAAGGCAGTGTTCAGAGAAGCAAAGGCAGAGAGAGAGAGAGAGAGAGAGAGAGAGAGAGAGGTTCTTTCAGGTCTCCCATGTGGGTGCAGGGACCCAAGGACTCGGGCCATCTCCCACTGCTTTCCTAGGCCATAGCAGAGAGCTGGATCAAAAGTGGAGCAGCTGGGACTCAAACCAGCATCCATAGGGCATGCTGAAACTGCATCTTTACCTCCCTCCCTCTTGCTGCTGTTTCAGCATGCCCTATGGGTGCTGGTTTGAGTCCCAGCTGCTCCACTTTTGATCCAGCTCTCTGCTATGGCCTAGGAAAGCAGTGGGAGATGGCCCGAGTCCTTGGGTCCCTGCACCCACATGGGAGACCTGAAAGAACCTCCTGGCTCTTGACTTAAGATCAGCCCAGCTCTGGCTATTGTGTCCATTTATGGAGTGAACCAGCATCTTTACCTGCTATGCCACAGGGCCATCCGCTAAAACTAACATTTTAACCATTAGGCCAAAAAGTGACCCCTAAGTTTTTTAAAATAATCTTAAACTTTAATTCAAATACTTATGGCTTTGGGGGCAGATGGTTGGCACAGCAGTTAAAGTCATCCCTTGGGATGATGACAGTCCATATCAGAGTGCATGGGTGTGAGTCCTGGCTACCCTGTCTGACCCAGCGTCCTGCTAATGTGCACCCTGGGAGGTATCAGAGGATGACTGAAGCCACCCATGTGGGAGACCTGGACTGACTTCAAGGCTCCTAGCTTCAACCTTACCCTACCCTGGCCGTGTGGGCATTTGGGGAGTGAACCAGCAGATGGGAGGTTTCTCATTCTGCCCCTCAATAAAATGAAAATAAATTTTTTAAAAAATTTGGGCTTAAAGTTTTTGTTGAAGTAGCTTACTGGACATCAAAATTTCACATACAACAAAAAACTCTACTTTTTTTTTATATGCATTTCCAAAGTGGTGCTGCTGGTGGCAGTGGAGGCAGCAGGGGTGGTGATTTGGTTACACAGCAAATTCTCTCGTAACTGGGATTCATGGTTGTTTCTAGTGCTAAAACCAAACCTGCATTCCATATATACCTATAGTACTCTCTATACACCTGTATTCTATGCAAAGCTTATAGAGTAGCACTTGAACATGGAAACCCATCTTGAAATTGTGTCAATTAAATAAGTGAGCAACACAAATGGATAGGAATACATGTAGGACGTCTGCCACGTGGGCAGGCTCCTGTCTGTGTGTGAATGCAGCAATGAGCTCAAACTCTCCTCTCAGGAAAAGGAAAAGTGTTTCTCTGCCCATTGCCCAGGTGTTCCCGGTACCTCAACTATTCCCACAGCAGAAGGGGAACGGTGTCGCCCCACCCCCACAGAGACGGCGTTCTTCCCGAAGTGTTTCTGCAGCTCGGGCCTCCTTCCCCACTT